TCGATTGTATATAACTACAGTCCGAGTACTCCTTCTCCTCTATGTCAGTAGCACCCTGACTCTCGAGAAATCGTCGAACATCGATGGGTGACGCCCCGAGGAGTGACTCCAAACTGGAGGTAGCCATCGGTAGACAACAGGCTGAATAGATTTATCGAATGAATCCCACAAATGAGCTAGAAAAACCGAAAAGCCCGAGTAATTCCCATCGACGCACGTAAAATAACCAATAATACAGAAGAGAAAACGCGACAGTAAAACCATGGGGTGAATAAGGTTGGGGTAGAATTTGAAAAATCGGTTCATAGGCGGGCAATCTGTAGTGATATAAAGAATCACAAGTTGAACTCATCTCCAGTCGATGATGCTGTAAGTCTCTTCTTTATGACAGCCCCCACACGATACAGCCATGATTCTGCAGTAGTGTCCGTGTCTGGCATCAGACACGAGTAACGTAACCACTCAACACGCTAGAACGTGAGGCAGCTGGCCGAGAACTCACCTTCTGACGTGGTAGACTCTTCTGTGGAGTATGCTTCCGTAATCACTTTATGAGGAGACTTTTCCTCGCTCGCCAGTTCCTGTTCAGCTAGCACAGCCTGCTTCTTCGATGCCTCAATAACAAAGTAGTCTACGAGCTTAGGCTGTCCATCCGGTTGGGGTTTGCGATAGTCCTAACAATATAAGCGAGCTGACTGACCCGATAACGACCCACGTAGTGACCTACTGAGGGTGACGGTCCTAGCCCCTGCTCCACTTTACGAGCCCAGAAGGAAAGGTCGTCCTCTTTTGATTTCGAGTCACTCTTAGGGCGGTACTTGCTTGGCGTAATCCACTTCCAAGATGGTACCTATAACTCAGCATACCATCACCACCACGAATGTCGCACGTGGAGTACATGTGAGCCCTGCGGTAGGAGCCTCCCGTCCCAATAGGGGTCCGCTTCCCAATGTCTAGCGACATGGTCAATGCCGATGACGAAGATGTGTAGGTCTCCTGTGTCCGGACTGATCCACATACGAAGAAAATGCTTGTAGTCTTGTATGCGAAGAGAGCTGAAAGCCTCATTCCAGTGCTGGCCAAGATAGTTAAGAGAGATGACCAAGTAGACACCGAAAATGAAGGAGGCTATAGGCGTCATGATGATGTACAGGAAGGGTGATACCGAGCCAAGATATCCAAGATACTGGAAACGGTCGATGGGCTGAATAAGATAGAAAAACTTGTTAGCAGACCAACGAACTCACCGAGTCACACACTTGGCGTCACTAAGCCTACCATGTTATTCGCTATAGCGGTGCAAACGGCAGCTCTATTGTAGAAGGCCCGGCTTGGCAGATCTGTTATCGAGAGGAACAGGGAATTGAGGGAAGCAGGTGTTGGAAGCATTGATGCCTATGGAAAGAGGACGATGAGATCGGATGTTTCTACTTGAAGCATAACCCACCCAAAACGGCCCCAAGGCGGACACGATGAGGGCTTCAGTCGAATCAAGAATCTCCAAAGCATCTCCTCCAGAGGCAGTAGGGGTGACGTTGGATAGGTATTCGCAGAAGCATTCCACTAAGCATACTGCAGATACAGCTGCCAGGGAATGGCACATGCCGTGGATCAACCCAACGATGAACCTAAGGGGGAAGATCTCAATTCTCAGGTTTCAATTCGCCTCTCAGAGTACCTCTTGGCTTGGCCCATCTGTTCCTCAGCACAACCGATACACATAGCGATGAATATGATCTGTCCAACCAGCGACACGTACCTGATGTCAACAGTGGCGCTCAATAGCGGGTGTTGACCTGCTACGATTGACGGAATATCTTGTCGTAGGCTTCGATGATGAGAACGACGAACTCGTACAAGCCCAGGAGGGCATTGGGCTGCTTCAGCACCCTGCCGGCATCGCACAATGGTAGAGCCGAGATGCTCTGAAAAGATACAAGCCTAAGCGATCTTCACGAAATTCTTCCGAACCTACTATATTCACAACGAAGAAAAATGCTATTGAGAATCGACGTGAATTTCGACGGAACAACAGGAGTAATATTCAATATTGATGCCAGCCCATGATGAAAGACGGCTCACCATGGCTAGGTACCACATCCCTAAGACCACATCAGCTCCCCAATTGCGTCTGCGGAATTGTATGGGGTTGAGCCATGTCAAGCGCCGACTGACCTTCTCAGGTGGATACGACTCGACACGAGTGTACCTGACATTCGAATGCTGACTTACATCTGACATTGCCCATGAACCAGCTAATTTCGACAGGAGAGCAGTAAGAGAGGAACGGAAACAATGCGACCAGCCGCGAACCTTCTCCCTCATAGCTGAAATCTAATGTAGGCCCTGATTAGTACCCTGTTCCAAGAGGTTCAGAGACCTTTATGGGAATTCTCTGACCAGATCCCGCAGCAGCGTAGGCAAACTCGTTGTTATTCAGCTTGCCGATGCGCTCATCGACGGACTCCTTCTGTAAGATGTCCTTCGGGGGGAAGTGGGTCGGATGCAAGAAGGCACCGGCCCCTCCTGATGTTACCAGAGGAACTCCTTTACTGCCATCCTGAACAGAAAGGGAGATCATACCGCCCCTTATGCGTCGCAACACAAACGTTGATGTTATTACTGAAGGCATGTATCGGGAGTAATGATGGACATCCCCTGCTAGACGCATGGCCAAACGAGGCTCTCCTATCTTATCCAGAAGAACACTGAGTAGGTATCCAGTTCTCTGAGAAGGAGTAGCACTTGTCATGAACCAACCATGATCAATAGTCCCCATCCTACAATGCCCTCAGCAACATCAGACTCCCAATTCGGCCTGTGAGTAATGACGACCACACGATCTTCGGTGCTGACCTTGCCCGAGTCCAGCAGGCCACAGAAGTACTCATACTGTGGACGGTCTAGATCATATGAGAGACTGAGGTCCAGACCCCAGATCCACCATCCGTGAGATAGCTTCACAGCAAAGTAGGAGCACTTCTGAGGAAGCTTCCACCCAGCTAGATGGTCCTGGCCCACGAGCCAATGGAGATACACCTCCAGGCCATCGTACCTGTGTATCAAACTTCAAGTGAAAAGCCAGAACCACAAGTCTCACCAATCATGGTTGCCGGGTATGGCAAAGAACTGAGGCTGATCAACGACCGCCGAAGACTTCGACTCTGTTGTTGTAACCTCTTCATACGGGGGTAGTGCCCACTCGAGCGGCCGTATTAGTCTGTTGACGAATGCCTTATGACTCGGTACAGGGTAAGCGAGGTCTCCACCATGGAAAACTACACTGGCTCGAGGGAGCATGATCCGGCGGTGACCAGTACCACTGTCGGACGGAACCCTTTGTAGACCCGTGAGGTGCGTCTCAGAGGAGACGCTTTCCGTCCTCACACGATTGGCACCATGTCCCAGAATTGGCATTGAGTTGTGGCGTTTTATGGCAAAGGAGTCAGAGCTACGGCCTTGGCCAGGACCTCTAACAGGAACCCCACTGATAGGAAGTTTACTCACCTTTTCAGCAACGGCAGCATCCTTTGGAACATCGACTCCTAAATAGGGTTGAGCTATCAAGCGGCCCACCGTATAACTAGAGTCGAAGCCGTCACCACCGTCAGCAAAGAAGTCGAACCAGGTCTCCTCTTTATCAGACTGGTCTTCAAAAGTCAACGTGTCTTCCGGCTCCCTGGTGAGGGCAGCGAGAAGCGTCCTTACATCGAAGCGACCCATGAAGACCTTCAGCATGACCGTCACCTGCGGGATATAGGTGGTCATGAATAGGCTGTACCAGGAGACCATAGCCTTGCGTAATTTCGGGTGCGGGCCTCGACGCTTCTCGGCCTCCTCCTCAGCCTGCGGGTGCTTAGCCAGTACTGGCCCAGCAGACAAGAAGCCATGGCGCCGGCCGAGTATCCTCTGCACAAGCCACGATATTCCATACAGCAAAAGCATGGTTATCACGACCGGTAACTGTAGAGAGATGGGGCTATCAAGGTAGTCGCAGTAGCCATTGGAGGTAACACCCAGCACGCCTTCCTCCTGCTTACAGAAACCGTATTGGAGGCTCAGGGCCGAAGCCATCAAGAGCAGATTGCTGATGTACTCCCTCTGAGTTCTTCGCATCGAGATGCCTCTCATACGGAGGACACCCTCGACAATAAAGAATCCAGGGAGTCCGAGAACAAGAGCCGGTAGGAAGAAGGACATCACCTTACTGAAGCGGAAGGGTACGGTAGCTCCAGCAGGCGCACTCTCGGTATGACGGAATACCGTGATAAGGAGGAAGTATGTTGAGAGATTGATGAACCAGAAGTAGCGCGAGTTGCGATCGGCATCCTGAACGTGCTGCAGAGGTGACAAGAACCAATAGAAAGCCAAGAACATGACCGAGTGAAGGAGCAGCCACCACTCAATCCGTAGACTGAGAGATTCCTCCGAGCCTGAGAAGAACTTCATAGGATAGGAGTGAGCCAATCAGGCTTGACGGGTCAAAAGGAAACAGTCAACTGAAGAACCACTGCTGCCACTACTGTACCACCCTCTAGGAAGCAATGCTCAACAACGTTCCTCGACTGGACGAAAATGAAGTTGCATACAACCGCGATCCCCTCACAGTTCTCATGCTGCACGTCTCCTCTAACGCGGCCTACTTCGGAGAGAATGATAGCCGATTGATAACCCTTGCGACGGGACTAGGCTCGAGGACGTCAACAGAGTCACCTTTGCATGAGTGTCATGTAACATGCAGAGTAGTCAAGCATCTCCCTCATCTGACTCCTCACTATGGAGTAAGTGATCGACTGGCTTTCTGAAGGTCTGAACATTCCGACCATTTGCCTTCCTCTACCGATTCCCTCCGATCCGGAGCGATACATTCCAGGATTCATCCACGTCTAGTAGTGTAACTACACTCGAGGAGAAAGCTCGAACTCGGGACATTTCCGAGCTCATTCAGCGCACAGAGGGGGGGGGGACATTACTGATCACTATTGCACAATGCAGGTCTTGGGACTGCGCCACCCTCGTCATACTCGGGAGTTCTACCCTGTGAAGATCCTAGTGAGTAGGAACACAATCAGCGCCGATCACAAAGCAGATCTCCCGTAACGGGT